GAGGGGGGGGGGGGGGGGGGGGGAGAGATAAATCGAGGATCGTGATACTCACTGCCAGGTAAATCCTCCGGTGATTCCATCGCGCAATCGGTCCTTCAAGCTGCGCTGTCTAGAGGGCAGTATGCTGCTGACAGTGTCCTCGGACCTGACCGGTGGCGGGTCGTTTCCGCTGCCGGCAGCACCGCCAGCTCCGCCGCCGGAAAACAATGCCATAGTCGTTCGCCGGTGATCCTAGAGCGTCCAGTTACCCACGTGGACCACCGATCGTTCCGTTTGTCCGCGACTGAGGATCCGAGTACACTCTAGGTCGCGTGTCGGTCGAGCATCATTCGGGACCACTCGCGGAACACCGGCCGACTCGCAATTCGCAATACGCAGCTGACTGGTCGGTCCGCACTCGCGCCACTTCCGGCCGAACGGGATCAAGCGCGCCAACCTAACACTTTCGGGACCGATGAATTATTCAGACGCGATCGGAAACCGTTTACGTCCTCTACCCGAACTCGATCGTGGTCCGCTAATTCGGGGGCGGAACATCTCTCGACTGTCGAGCAATCGGTTTGCTCGACTTCGTGACAATCGACTAACTTGCTTTGTTCTTTGATAGACGGTGCATTTAACACCTCAAGTGCCGGTTATCAACTCCGAAAATGTCCGCTACGTCGAACAAATCATATAACCCTAGAACGAACTGCATTCTATTTCTCGGCGTAAGTAACGTTGTGGGGTTGCGGGCGACTCAAAATAAAATCTCAACCCTTTGCACTCGAGTGGTGACTCTGAGGCACCACTAGAATTTGTTATATCACCTTTTAAGATAATGTTGATATTAACAAATATTATATATATAATTAAAAAATTGTTAAGAGTGTAACTGTTGTGCGAGTTACAAGACTCAATTTCATATGCATAAAATGCATTTTGTCATATAAAGTAGAAATACTGTAAGTTAGAGAAATGATTTTATATTTTCAGTTAAAATAGCTTCGAGTGCAAAGGGTTAATAATTAAAATATTATTTATTATCGTTAAAATGTAAAAAGAAAGTAAAAAGCACTTCGTAAAAAATTTGTTTATGTTCCTTCGTAAAGCACTGACACGAAGAAAATCTCAATGTTTTAGTATTCATTTAGACGTTTGCGGACAATTGAAAACTTTTGGGGGGATCGTTCTTGGGTTAATTAATGAAACCGATGCTGGAAAGTTAATATTTACCATAGGAAATATTGTTTTAACTATCTTGTATTGCAAGAATTTTAATAAGATCCGATTTGTTCGATATATTGCAGTAAAAATGAATTTCGAACCTTAGTACGCAATGTAAAATTATTTAGAGTGTTTGAATTGTTTCGGGTGTCGCAATCGTATCTTGTGAGGAAAATGAGGCGAAAGGAAATTTCTCTAAATAGTCCTGAAGTTTGAAACCTCGTTTGTTCTTCAGTTACGCGGCTTAACCCTTTGCACCCGAAAAATTTTCTCGGATCAGCTACTTACGACTTGAACGTATTTATTCGTGAAATAATCACTGCTTTGGATAAAATCTAAAATGATATAACGTTGGTAATAATTGCTTCGTTTAAATATTACTTTGATATAGAATTACGTCGATACATATCGACAGAAGAAGAAAGGATTGTTAATTTTGTTGTGATGCGTTGATCGGTCACTTGACATCAAATTGATGCATTGGTAAAAATTGAATATGACAGAAACTTGGATAATTGCGTTGGTAAATTTGTGCTTTAAGAACGAAAAACTAAAGTAGGATAAGTTTAAATAAGATTGTTTTTTTACATCGTTCGCAGCTAATCAAACAACGCACAGAACATACCATTCACAGTAAATTCTCTCCAATTGTTGTTGACAGTTGTCTCTCTAGTTGACTATGAAAACAAATAATCGTATCTTCTCTTCCGAAATTGTCTATTTTTTGTTTACAAGGGACAATTGGAGAGAATTTGATGTATATATTATATTATTATATGATATTCGTCTTGTTATTTACTTCAACGAAAATATGTTGCACCTAATTGACTTTATGTTTTGGAAGTTTCGAAAGATTTCCGTGCGCTATCGCTGCATCAAGATCACAGTCTAATTATAATAATGATCTCAGCTCTGCCTCGTGACAATTCTTGAGGCTACAATAAAATGTTCTACCGCACCCAGCGTATTCTATCGCATTCGGTATTTATTAGGTTGGAAACTAAGTTCCCGCCGTTTTTTATTCAATTATAACATTCCGCATGTCATTAAATGTTTTAAATCAGTCGAAAGAAGATGTTTTGTTCTACCGAAATCTATGTTTTGTTTTTTTTGTTCGAGTTAACTCATATTAATTTCCAGATCATTAAAATGGAATGTCAAGTTGAGAAAAATGAGCATTTTCGTCCTTCTTTTTGCTTTTAATCAATCAATTTTTTAAAAGTTTATTNCACAGTCTAATTATAATAATGATCTCAGCTCTGCCTCGTGACAATTCTTGAGGCTACAATAAAATGTTCTACCGCACCCAGCGTATTCTATCGCATTCGGTATTTATTAGGTTGGAAACTAAGTTCCCGCCGTTTTTTATTCAATTATAACATTCCGCATGTCATTAAATGTTTTAAATCAGTCGAAAGAAGATGTTTTGTTCTACCGAAATCTATGTTTTGTTTTTTTTGTTCGAGTTAACTCATATTAATTTCCAGATCATTAAAATGGAATGTCAAGTTGAGAAAAATGAGCATTTTCGTCCTTCTTTTTGCTTTTAATCAATCAATTTTTTAAAAGTTTATTTTTCAATAAAAATTAACAAGTAATTAATCGATAATGTATTCTCCCTTATTGTTTACAACTTCTTCCCAACGTTCGACAAGATTTTCAATGTCTCATTGGTAGAAATCACACTTTCGACTTCACGGTTTCGACTTGAAAAATGCATCCAACCGAGCTCGTTGATTTTTGTTGTTGTCACTTAAAGCATGCGGAACCCACGCTCCACATTTCTGAACCTTTCCCATTGAGCGAAGATGCTTCTCTATAGCAGTGTGCGGGACCATTCCATTTTCTCAGCCAGTTCCCTTGTCGTTTGACGCGAATTTTCGTGCAAAAGTTCGTGCAAAATCGCTCTCCATCGAACTCGACCGAACGGCCAGAACGAGGTGCGTCTTTGAGATCAAAATTTCCATTTTTGAACTTGTCCTTTCAGCTATGACATCCTCTCCAAATGTCGCGAGCAGCTGTTACGGCCTTAGAACCTTCATTAAAAGTAAAAAGAAGGAAGTGTCGAAAATGCTCATTTCTCTCAACTTGACATTGCACTTTAATGATCTGAAAATTAACATAAATTAACTCGAACCAAAAAAGACAAAACATAGATTCCGGTAGAACAAAACATCCGTCCTTCAAATGATATAAAGCATTATGCCGGAATGTTAAAATTTATGCAAAGAAAACGGCGGCAACTTGGTTGCCAACCGAATATATTCTCCGCGGGTAAAGAAGCGTTTTTCATTTTCCTCGCATTCATACCGTTTACCATTTATGCTCCTACACTTTTGAGAACTCTAGGAAACTACTATCGATAATTCTACGACGAGCATGTTTCAAGGTTGAATGCTGGATGTTTGCACAGTTGGTCTAGAAGATACGCGAAGCTGATAGAATATTTAACTCCCGGGATGGTTCTCTTCGCGCAAACTCAGAACGCCGCGCGATTGGCATAATAAAATCGCAAAGAAGAATAGAGAAAACTGTTTCGAGAAAATTCTTTACGACAACTTCGCTCGCGGTTCTCTCGGACACGCGATCTTGAAAACGCTCGCAGCTTTAAACGCAGGAAGAAATCCGGTATCGGATAGATCGATAACGTAAATTGAATCTTCGTCGCAGATTATTTCTATACCGATGGTCACCACACTTCTTACTATCGGTGTTATCGCACCATCACTGGCTACCAAGTAAAAAATAGAAATTATCCAAATCTGCTCGATTAGATTAGCTTTCTGAGCTGGTATACTGCATCCAACGAGCGGAAACACTTCACATTCCGAAGATCTCTGATTGGCAAACGCGGAGCGTGCGGGAAGTTGCGCGAACTGGTCCCGGTTATCTCGACGAAAAAAAGAAGAGAGTTCAACACCGGAGCGTACTGATAACGTAACCAAACACAGCCACCCGGAAATCGATCGCAGACAGTTGTAATAGCTAGCTCTCTCTCTCTCTCTCTCTCTCTCTCTCTGTGTGTGTGTGTGTGTGTCAGTGCACACGCCACGATTCCAGCTGATTTTCTAGGACTGTTCAGCCGACGCGACGCCTCGTTGAGGCTCGTTAAAACGTACGACGATCGATCATAAGCGGCTGGCATTGCGAGTCTAACATCCACCAGTGCACCGCAGTATAGCTTCTGGCTCCGTTTAACTTCAATGGACAGAAAATTACAGGAAAGTTCGAGAAACGCGGCTGATCTATCACGAATCTACGATAATTGCAGCCGTCAATCTTCAAAAACCTGTGTCGTCGAAAACTGGTTCTATAACGAACGTCGCTACTTTGTTGATAAGAAGACGTTTTTATGAAAAATAAAAATTGTTTGAAACGTTAATTGCCAGTAAGTCGGATGAATATTTATTTTCTCTTTTAATAATTCTCTAACATTAAGCAAATCGTGCTGGTGAAAATGGCACGTCTCGCAGTTTTCTTTTTAAAATTGTTCTAATTCTAATAATAAATAATTGAAATAAATAATTGAATAAATATTTTAATTCGAGCATATCTCGTAACAAAAATATCTGGATATGTAAATAAATTCAGCCTTGTAATTCTTCTAAAGCAACGCACGCGAGACACGTGATTAATGCTTGGAAAGTTTAATGTTAATAAGTTTAATTTCAATAATATTTACGTCTTCACAGTTTTGCTTTTGATCGAGTCGTTTTCGCCATAAATGCTCGAATCCTCGATCCAGCGACGAGTAATCGTTTTATTGGAAATTCGAAGAATGTGTCCGATTTGATTTCGGAACACGATATTTCTGCTAACTAAATTCAAACTAAATTCAAATCGATATCAAATGAGTTAATTAATGGAAAATGTTTCGAATTGAAAATGCGTTACGGAGAACGTTGCGAGCACGGTAGCAAATATTTTCTGCCTCTGTCGAGGCTGCTGCGAAATTTTAATAGCGAGTAAATTGCTTGAAAAGCTTCGAGCGCCGAGCAAAAATGTTGATGCGAAGGAATGCGTTTAACGTGTCCGTAGTAGCAGCGACGAAACGGATATTTCTGAATCCAACGTCTCTCGAGCAGCTCGCTGACAACAACGGGTTCGCATTGACAGCAGCTGGCCGTAGCTGCGATAAGTCTAGAGCGATAGAATCGACCTTAACAACCTCAGTTAAATTTCATTACGTTGTTCGGGCCATAGCGCGTCGCTCAAGGTTGCAGCATGCGATTTTAATTGTGCAAAAACGAGCGCTGTCGCCGTGATCGTTGCTCGACTCGTCTGATCGCTCGATACTGCGAATTCCTTCTTTCCCTCGCGTTCGCGAAACAGTGGATCGAACCCTTTGCGAATGAAACATTTCAAAAACTTAGCAGTCGGAGCAAATTTTGCAAAAATTGCGATTTTTCTATACGAAGTTAAATTGAAATCGAAATCGCTATATATCGCGGTGAAATCTTACAGGAATTAATGAATATAATATTAATCATTATTAATGAATAATATAATATTAATGATTATTAATATATTAATATATTAATAATATAACATATTAATGACTATTAATATATTAATATATTAATACTATAACATATTAATGATTATTAATAAATAAAATATTTTGAGTTTTTATTTATATAAACAATAATAATTGAATGTCCCCGAATGTCCCAGCGGATAAAGTTATAACCAAAATATGCTTTCTTTAAATCATTTTCAATTTACAATCAAGTCAATCGATTCGTTCCATATTTTTCAAGACAATCAATTTATTCTGTGTGTTTTCAAGCTAAAAATGATCGATGGAAGTAGCAACCGCCGTTCAAGATTTATTCACTTTTCTTGAAGCGTTACGAACTCTGCTAGACGCTTATGCAACTGTATAATGATAGCATATGAAGGAAACTAGATTTGACTGGAAAATTGAAATTTGTAACTGTGAAGAATAACGTTCCATTAATTAAACGCGGTACGAGGTAATTTTAGTTGCCACTGTCTGCTCGTTTCTTTCTCATTGCACCGACACGACAAAACCTGGCTGCTGGAAATACCGATATTAATTATCGCCCTTTCGCGATTTGCCATCGCGGCAAACTGTATTCAAACCATTCAAGGAAATAATGTATTCTTTTGTCGGAAAAAATTCATCTGGAAAGAGAAACATTTACCGACCCCGTTGCGCGTTAATTAGCATCGCGAGAAACTCAATTAACGCGATAAAGAAAAAAAAAGAGATGCAGCGAACGGTTGCACAAACGCGGCAGGCACTCGGCGTTGAAACGAGCCAGCGTTTCCATGAGAATTTCGTATTTGCAGGATTTTATCGATGGCGACCGATGAAGGGGCCGTGCCTGTTCCGACCGGAGAGGAAAACGGCAGACGTTAAAAGGAAAATTTGTGTTGAAACGAGTAGCGCGCGCCGACGGAAAATTCGTCGAGCTCCGAGCGGCGGCTCGAAGGGCGTTAGCAAGGTTAAGGTCACTGGCAAGGTCAGGGACTCCGTAGACCCGATTCTCGTCGAGTGGAGAACGCCGGCCTACGCCTCCATGTCGAAAGCCTCCCGGTATTGATCCCGTTTTCGCCCGGCAAACTCGACCAATCCCAGCTGGCACATCGCATGGTAACCAACACGCTCCGACACATCTTCCAGAAGAACCGGTGACCCGACTCGACCCGACCCGACCCGACCCGACGCGACCCGTCCCGCGCCGGTTGGCCTCGGGCCTCGCCTGAACCCGACAGAAAATTTCGTGACAACCGCTAATTAACGCCGCGATTACCGGGCCACGTCGTTTACCCTGCCGAATGATTTTCTATCACGCAATTGTGTCCCCGAAATTCACTGCTGGCGGCTCAATCCCGCCGAATTGTTCGACACCATCGACGCTCCATTAATGTTCCTCCCGGTTAGTTTGCCCGCCAAATACGCTTACTCGCGATGCCCGAAACGGTACCGACAAAACAACTCCATGCGAAAAGTTTACGAAACGTAGAACGATGGAAAAACACACCGATAAATGCAATTGGCCCGATGATTTACTACTCGCGGTCGGCTGATTTGTTCTTTCGTTAATCTGATCCTCGTTTTCTGAACGTAGCTTTCGCGGCGGCTCACGAAAGTGCGCAATCACCTTTGACCCTTTGCGCTGCGGCTGCCGGGGTCACTTTGAGCCGGAGTACGAATTTAGATCGTTCACATTTTCGGTAATTAAATGAATCGAATTGCTGGTATATTAGGAACGACAGAAAGCAAGAAGCGTCTTCGAAAATATATTTTCGAAAATCGCTGTATATAGGTCAGAATTGTTACAAGCATCCTGTAAAAATGGTCCGCCGTCCGAGGATTAAAACGAAATAACATTTTTTAAATTGGATCGAATAATTTTCCTTTAGATGTTAAAAGGACTAGTTCGTTAGACAATATCTTGGAATGACGATATTTCTCTCCGACTTTTGCATTCGAGTCCAGAACGAAAAGTTAAACAATGCGTTTTGTAGGTGTTGGCGAGTTATACGCATACTACAGGCATTGAACGACGGAAAATTCGCCGGATTTCTTACAGTTATCGGTCGAAACTATCGCAAAATCGTAAAAGCTGCGATTTTCGTAATTTTTAATTGTTTGCTCGTTGCAACGTTAACGGATTTCGACAATGGAAACAACGATATATCGAGTAGACTAATAAATTTTAGAAACTCGTTTATTAGGAGTTAAGGATGTGCAATGATTTTGGGACTTGAAAGATTGTAATAAAGGCTTTTCAAACGCGTAAGATGAATGAGTGTTAATAACAAACTCGAACACGTATTTTGGTTGAAGATGCAATTAGGTGGGAAGTATCCGAAACCCAATAGAAAATTATGGGCGCCTTCCTCGAAGTTCCAACATCTACAGACTCTGCTCAAGGAAAAACAAACCCATAAATCTTTCCTCGACTTGCATGGGGTTTCGCGGAGTCCAGGAAGTTGTGACGTGAAATTATAACTAATCTCTAATAATTTATTAGGCTAAAAATTAATCTGATTAATAATTAACGATTATAACTCGATAGTTATCACAACTAATCTCTAATAATTTGTTGGCCAAAAAGTAATCTGATTAATGATTAACGATTACAACTCGTTAGTTATTAAAACTAACCTCTAATAATTTATTNGGCTCCTTGTTTCCAAACCGCGCGCTCCATCGCTGGTCGTTCTTCCAAAAAATGAAAGCTCGAAGAGAAATGGTGGGACATTAACCCTTGAACGACCGGGATCAAGTTCCTCGGGTTCACTAGCACATGAATATTGAGTGCAATATTATTTTTGTCGAACATGAACCTTTTGTCAGAGATATTCGGCTCTTGTGCTTCGAGTACATCAATTACCAGACGACCGATGATCTTTGTGCTAAATGTAAGAAAAGTAGAACTTTCTAATCGCGAACTATTTGTTTTCGTAAAAGATATTGTTTTCTCACTATTGAACTAAAATGTAGTGCAGTTAACACGAATAAATTGTAAGCTACTCTTTAAAGTAATCGACCGTGTTAATTAATCTAGGGTTCTCAGAAAATTACACGTGTTTCCAGAAACATTCTTATGATTGTAAAATATTATACAATATAAGACCAGTTGTCAAAAAATAAAACACGAGTGTCTAACAAAATATCATACTAGTATAAAACAGAGTTGGGTGAAAGCTAACCTGATCAATTATTAACAATTATAACTCGTTTGCTATTATAACTTATTTATAATGGTCACGCAAAAAGTAATCTGATTAATGATTAACGATTACAACTCGTTAGTTATTAAAACTAACCTCTAATAATTTATTAAGCAAAAAGTAATCTGATTAATGATTAACGATTATAACCCCGTTAGTTATCACAACTAATCTCTAATAATTTATTGGGCAAAAAGTAATCTGATTAGTGATTAACGATTACAACTCGTTAGTTGTTACAACTAATCTCTAATAATTTATTGGGCAAAAAAGGAATCTGATTAATAATTAACAATGATTTACGATTACAATTCGTTAGTTATTATAATTAATCTATAGTAATTTACAGTAACTAACGATTTATAATCGTTAATCATTTATTAGATTACTTTTTGATCAACCGTGTACTCAAATAAATTGATCCCCATGAAATATTGATTCGGAAATATCCGTCGAGTGTCGACTGATTACAGAATTTCGAGAGTCACAGGGCACAAAGATCTAAACCACGTTATCGGAGAAACTATATCCGAAGATATGGCCTCACCTTCACCCAGAGGTCGACTATATTGGCCGAACTTTTGTCAAAAGATATCGCGTGGCCACGCGTCCTTTGATCTCCGTTGAATGCTCAACTTTTCCTGTCTCTTTTGAAGCACCAGCGAGCGTGCTCGTTAATTAGAAGCGAATTCGCGAAATTCACCAGTTGCCGAGGTGTTAAGGAGGACGCCAACACAAAGCCGGACCCTCGATGTTTAAACAGGGACCCGGTATTTTTGACAATTACCGGTAGACAGCCTCATGGTGGGTAAGGGGGGAGGGGTCGTCCTCCTTTCAACTGGAGCACTTGACTTCGGATTTTTCAGGGTCTAGGACATCGGCTTTCAATCTGCACAGCATGATTTCGCAAATATCGATAAAAAGCGATTGCATCGAAATTAATTTTTCTCGGTCAAGAATTTTCTAAAATTTCTGTCGACTTTAGTAGGACGGAAAATCTGAACTGACCCAATTATTAAAAAGAAAATCCAAACTGACCCAATTATTAAAAAAAAGAAAATTTAGACTGTGTGATCAAGTTATTAAGAAAGAAAATCTAGGCTGATCCAGTTATTAAAATCATCCTGTCACACATTTGTTGGAAATAAGTTCGTAGAATAAATTAGTGACAATTTATTATTCTAATCGTATTTTAGACTGTCACGATATAACTTTCATATATATTATTATTTATCATATCATTATTATTGTTTGAAAAGTTATTTATATTAAAATTATATTATATATTTATTTATTATTATATTATATTGTATTTAATATTATTATATATAATAATAACACTAATAATAATAATAAATGCAACATAATATAATTTTAATATAAATAACTTTGTACTTGCTCGGAAAACGACTATAATGAAGATTCATCAAAATGTCGAACACACAAGGTACAATTACAGTGGGTCAAAAAAAGAAACATCTTTCTGCGAAGAATATTAATATTTCCTACATGTTAGAGAATATGAAAAAGTTCGAGTTTAGGTCAGAGTTTAATAACGAAAGAATAAGAACTTAATTTTTGGTCAGATAAAGTAATTTACGTGCAAGAATTAATCAGTTGCAATGCTTAAATTACCTGTGTCGATTCAACGTGCAACGTTCTATCACTATATTATAACAGAATTGTTTCTCGAACAGAGGAAGGGTTCAAGGACGGCGATTATTCATAGATAGTATACTTATCGAAAGAGAAAAGCGGTCGAACTGCTGTTTCTATGGCCAGACAGCTCGTCTTCGCGGGTTATCTGTAATTCATGACGCCGCGGGATCCTTCAACCCTTCTTCATCGATGTATTCTTGTATGTTTAAACAGGGTCGACGGATTGAATTGTGTCGAATCGTTCGCCGACACACGGGCACACCGTTTACCTATGTGTGTCAGGGAAACGCAGCTAAGTCGGCGAGCCTTTCCATGTCAATCAAAAAATGTCAATCGATAATGGTCAGGGCTTTTTCGCGGATCGAACGCTTTCAACGCGGACGATCGCCGGGGTCGAAATATCCCGTGCGGGCTGCCGACCGTATTCTGCGGACTGACACCTGCGGATCGATTTAATGAGCGCTCTTCGAGGCTTCCTTCGTCACGCTGAGATTTTATGCGCTAGATAATGTCAGGGATGGAGGAACCGTTCCAAAGTTCTTGCGTGTCACAAGAAACGTTTGTCAAATACGGTCGGAACTGGATAAAAGAGTATTTTAATGGGCAAATATAGCAAGCAGATGTTTTAATTTAAATCATGCACGTATTTTCGAAAATAAATAATCTACTTTTAAGCGTCTATTCGTTGCAAAACATTTTTAAGTTAGCATTCCAAACAGTATTTTATTTGAAAAACACTGAAACTATCTGTGCCATTTTTCGGAATAATTTGTTTATTTAATTTATTATTATCGAATAAAATATTCCTATTTTACTAAATCATAGTGTAGAATATTTGGTAATCTAAAATGAACGAAGTACCTTTCCTCTGCATTATAAAGGTACGTAAAAGATGCACTTTATTACATGCGAATAGCTGTTATTCCGCAATATAAATGTTACACCGTTCCTTTACGTGGGAATAAAATGCAGTTCTCTTGTCATAAATATTAATCAGTCAATTAAATGTAAACACACAACAATTCGTTCTACATGAAAAATAACAAACAAATTTAGTGTAACATTTCTTTATTCGAAGTTCCATTTTCGAGAAAATCGACTTTAAAGTTTGGTCACCTTTGTAAAGGATTTAGCTGTCGTCTGTTCTTCTACCGCAGGTATCTCCGTTCAAGTTAGTGTTTACAAACATTGACAATGATGGAAACATTCGGTTTCCTACTGCCGTTGCTCGGAAGAAGTCAGCTGAGAAAAGTGTAGGACCGATTCCCATCAACCCACCCATGTTATGAAATATGGCTGAAACCTATTGGCCCGAAATTAGCCGCCATACCTGAATTTCCACGAAACTAGGGACTCGAGTTCGGCCGATTAAAAAGCAACGGCTCCTGACTCCCTCATGGTCGCCATTTTCAGCTAGAAGCACATCAGACGCGTGTGGCCTGTGCTATCTGTGGATTTGTGTATGTGTATTGTTTAAGTGGGGCCACGGGCCAGCGAGACGCGCGACGGGAGTCAGGACGCGTAGACAGTCAAGACAAAGTGAAACAGACGCAACAAATACAGGATGCAAAAGCGGTAACTTATCAGCAAAGCATTAACTTCAGATTCTTCTGACGAATCCATGATTATTTGATAATTATGATTATTTGTAATTACTAATTAGCATCTTGATTAACTTTTCATTGCATTGTGCAGCAAACGTGCTGTACTATACACATATTTTTTATATTTATGTTGTATCATATGATTGTTAAAAACGGTTATCATACACGTCTTAAATATGTGTTCAATATTTATGAAGTATAAGTGAAAATAATTATGTTTTGCTTGTGCGAATTATTCCAGTATAGGAATTTTACGAATATCTTACGCCTACGTCAACGTACAACGTTAAGAACCCGAAGGTAATATCGGGAAACGAGAAAATGAAACACCACGCATAAACTAAATGACGCAAGGGGCAAGGAGTAAGGGGAACCGGTCGCCCGCTCCACCTAGCCTCTTCCAATTTTCAGACTTTTGATTATTATTGGCTAAGTTACGCGCTGAGCAAGGAACGTGATTGGGTGGAGCGGGCGCCCGATTCCCTAATAGAAGTGGGTATCGGGAGGTCATAGAAAAGCGGCGACTACGGACGTACAGACGAAACGGAGCGAACGAAATACCCCCCTTGCCCCTCTGCCGAAATAACTGTCTTCTTATGAACACCGGACGGTACATGGTTCGCAACAATTAATGTTTGTAAACACTATCTCGGACGGAGTCAACTGTGGTAGAAGAACAGACTACAACTAAATCCTTTGCGAAGATGAAGAAACTTTAAAATCGATTTTCTCGAAAATAGAGCCCCGGATAAAAAAATGTTACATCAAATCATTTTCTTATTTTTTCAGAGTCACCTTGG